AAGCACTGAAAATTATATATTAGTTGAATTCCGTTCCTTAAAAGCAACAGCATACATTTATGCATGCAGCTATGAAAGAAAAAGTGACTTCATATTTAAATTAAAAAAAAAAAAAAGACGATGTTGAGCCTCAACAATGTGGAGGCTACTTGCACTCCAGTGTTGAATGAGTTAGATTAAAAATAAATTCCTTTCCCACACTCACATCCCCTACTTAGAATGCGTCACAGGTCTATTTGTCCCAGATCTAGACAAATGTAAATGAGACAGTCTTTTTCTATGTAACGGAATCACTGCTCAACCCCACAGTGGTCACATTGTTTTTACATCAATATTCACCTCACAATTTCTGTATGGTCATGTCAGCAAATTGTAGCAACTTGCACATGATTATCTCCAATTCTCCTTTTGAGTTGAATTCTCTTAGAAAGCATTGGGAAAGCTACAAACTAAAAAACATCAGCCACTATCCATTTATGTGGATTAAATGGTCTAGTAAAAAAATACTTTGCATTTTCTTGCGAACATCTTGGAACAAGGTAGTCAAACAGAATATGTGGAAAAAAAAGTGAAGAAAGTTCTTTGAACAATTTTGCTGCAACAAACTATCCTAGAATGACTCTAACAGCATAACAATATTGACATAGCACCTTGCCTTGCTAACAGTTCCTGACCCTGGTAAGAAGTGGTGAAGTGCATTTTTTTGAATCACCAAATCGGATGGTTTGTTCTCCCACACAGCTATAAGGAAGTGGAAATGTTCTTCTAAAAGAGTGGATATAAGGACCAGTTACCTTACACTTTAAAGAGACTTGAACTAAATACTTACTTCCTACTTTTTTGTAAATAAGGTCAAGGTTCTACTCTCAGAAATGATGTTAGGGCTTTTGCACACCATGTCTTTATTGCTAAACCCTTTGGAGCAGGGAGAAAGGAGCTCAAATGGAACATGCATCTATCTCACTGATTTTCAGCTTTATTTTTGGCCTCTCCTTTTCACTATAGCCTAGAATGGGTCTAAAACAACACATACAAAAAGGGAACATCAACACAGCCCATACACACAGAAGCACCAGGATCAAGCTAGTACACAGGAATGTTAAGACACCTTTGGAAACTGATGTTTCAGTTGCACAGTGTAACTTTTGGTCACGGTTCAGGATCTGGCCGTAAGCCCTAAGAACCCAGCTTCTTGGTTCTTTCCTATTTGCCCTGTCATCTTGATGCAGGACCCAAATCTTTATTCACACCAGCTACTCCAACAAGTCATACAGTTGGGATTATAAACCAAACAGATGGGTTAATTTCCAAACAGGAATATATTATTAAAGGAATATATTAATATTATAGGAATATATATTTCCAAATGGGAATATATTTTATTTTATATATAAGTTACTCTAAATACTGGCTATGATAAATATAAAAATATAATATATTTTATAATTCTAATATTTTAAAAGCCTAAATCTGTCTGTCTGTCCATAATGCTTTATTCACACTCTGACTGGCTGTCTCAACAGCCAATCACAGTGCCCTACACAGACAGGGACACAGTGGAGCACAGCCACGACAGTGGAGACTAAGGGGCTGGAGGGGAAGTGGCAGGGGGAGGCAGGGAGCAGCCCTAGCCCTGGCCTGAGGCAGTGGGGCAACTCCCTAGCCCTGGTCCTGGCCCTGACCCAAAGCAGTGGGGGGGGGGGGAAACAGAGCAACATCTGTGATCTAATGAGTTCTTTAGCCAGTAGAATTGTGGGTAATTTTAGCTACTTTTTTAGCCCAAGAATAACCTTGTTTTGCAAACCATAATGTATTTACTTTAACAAGTCTGGCATCACAAATGTTGCTTTGTTTCCAAATAAAGGGCTGACATTTTCCTTACTTGCTTTAAAATCCAGTTTTGTTTTTAAAATTTTATGTCACATCATTTTTATATTTTAACACTTTTATATTTTATACTAGCAAATTGCCCATCAAGAATGGTGGGAGGGTGGGGCAGAGGCCTGCGTCCCTTCCCCACCCTTACCTGGGGTCCTGAGGGCCTCCCAGGGTCTGCGGCAGTGGCGATCCAGCCAGGCAATTGTGGCTTCGGCCGGCCAGGTTCTGGTTTTGAGTGGTGTGCGCTGCCCCTACATGCATTGCTCCCCCTTCTTTTGCACTGTGTCTCTTCCCTCCCCCTCTCCTTCCTGCCCCCCTCCCTCCCCTGTTCCCCATTAGATCAAAAAACAAACAAACCCCCAAACCAAAAATAAACCAACCCCCCCCCAAAAAAACCCTAGCTCTTGCAAAACAACTACAAAATAGCTGTGAGACAAAAGAATTTCTAGGTATTCTCAAATTAATGAGCACCCTAACTATTATGACACTATTTCTTATGGCAGCATGGTACAAAAGATTTTTGGAGTATTGTGTTCTGCTCATTTGCATTTCAATGCACTTTAAAGTTGCCTAGGTGATAAACTCCACAAACAAACTGATAAGAACATAAAAAGGGTAAATAACCATATTTAAAAACCGAACTTTGTTACATAATTGTAAAACAACAAATTGTATTTTCTGAAACTGCTATAACTATGTTTTATTTATATTATATAGGGCCCCCTTCAAATGTTACATTTATGTCGCGTTTTAGATGTTAACAGCAGCATAAACAGTAGGGACATCTATATACATGCTCCAGGGTGGGGGTGGGGGGGGAGTGCTCTAATTAGAGTGGGTCTGAAAGCCACTCTAATTAAAGTGGCCACAGTATCACATGCATTCAGGGTACCACGCTTCAAAATGGCAGAAGGGGCACTCTAACTAAAGCTTGTTCAACAAGCTTTACTTAAAGCACCTCCGCCACCATTCTGAAACATACGGACGGTGAATACACATGACATGGATGATACTGGAACGTGCTAATTAGCACACCCCAGCAGACTCGCAGCAGTTAAGTACTAATTAGCATGCGTCAGAGCAGAGGTCAGTCACGTGTACAGGTTCCCCAAGGGTGCTACGTAGGCACCCAATTTAAAGCACCTTAAATGGCAAACCATCCATAAAAATGTTCCACATACAACGTAGATAAGTTTTATGACTGGTTTGCATGGCACCTTAAATGAACCACATGACATGTCCAGGGCCACCCTCAGGCTTATGCTTACAATCATCTGATAGTTAGTCCTGGCCCTAAAATGCACCAGGGTTTCAAACCAGCCACAAAGTAGTCTGGGGGCTGGTGCCAACATTAAGCAGATTGTTGGTCCTTGCCCCAGGATTGCACTGGGTCTTGTTCGGCTGCAAGCAGCCAGCTTTCAACTTGCCAGGGCAGGGGGAGCTCAGAATCATGAGCCTGGATTAGGATTACCATACACACTCTCTTTGAGTCCTCTGATCTCTGTCCAGGCAGTTTTTTGGAATCTGAACAAATGTATGGGATTTTACTTTGTTCCACTGGTGGGAGCTGGGGAAAGACAACTGGAGGCACGAAGCACCACGTGTGTCTGCACACACCTAAGCAGCTGAATGCACGTAGGTCTGTGGGAGACGCAGGCTGAAGGGTTGAGGTTGGGGCGAAGTGCCAGCCCCTCCAGTGGGGGAAGGGGCAGGGGAGGAGGGCCCTTTGAGGGCAGCAGGGAACTCCATGCCCAGGCCGACAGCACAGGGGCTAGTGCCCGTGCTCACTGGGGCGGGGTGGCCAGGAGACACTGCCTGGGGAACAGGGGTCAGGGGGCTGTGGCCAGGCCGCCTGGCACAGTGCAAGAGCCCCAGCCACAGGCCTCCCCTCCTCTTCCCTCCAGCCCGCACTGGGACCAGATATTTTCTGCTACTGCCCACATGAATTGCAGTCGCTGCACTCCAGTCTGGTCAGGATGGGGGCAGCTGGGGCCCCCTCTGGCAGGGCTCGGGGGAGTAGGGGGCTGTGGGCTGGGAGTGCGGGGTAGATTGGGACTGAGGATCAGCAGCACAGCCTGGGGGCACAAGGGATTGTGGGTTGGGAGTGAGGGGAAGCAGCAGGAATGAGAGCTATGGGTTGGAGTGAGGTGTCCCCCAACAGGTGTCCTCTTTTTTGGAACTGGAAATATGGTAACCCTACCCTGGATGCCCTCCCATGCACTGGCAATTAGTAAGAGTGATACTGGGATCTGATCCTGATCCCAAAGTCATGCTGCCTGCCATGCACATATGACATAGCAGGAGGTGTGACTCTTGAGAGTGGGAAACCAGATCCCATGGTGCCTTTAAATGAATGTGTGCTAGGGACAACAGTGAAATCAGCTCTAGTTAGGAAAAATGTCATACCACATTTTAACCTAAACCAAAGGTTTATTTTGCCCATTAAACCTCTAAACTTAGACACTTTCAAATTTCCAGGACCCATGTGTAGGACACTTCACACGTATACACTCATCAACTGCTGCTAAAAAATTCTGGTGCTTAAAGAAAAATGAAAGGCCTTCTGCTTTTGCAGGCTATCAACACATCTCCTTAACATGTGAAAAAAAAATAGTCCAGTGATTACAGCACCAGTTTGGCACTCTCCTTGTCACTGACCCTTCCCCTTCCCCTTCCTCCTCCCCCGCCCCCCCACACTGCCCTCCCAAGTTCCCCATCTTCAAAATGGGTTTAATCACATTTCTCCAGCTTGCAAGAATGTTCTGAGGACAAATATTTAAAAACTTGAGGCCCTTCTACTCAGTAATAGACAAGCCATGTAGCATAACAGACACAGATAAATAAGCCATTGCTGAGCCCAATTCCATCCTCTGTGATGGAGAAGCTCTCAGTATTTCCAAGCTCTGACGATGTATGGAAACCAAGACCAAGAACCAGGAGTCAAACTTCATAAACTAATTAAAAAAACAAAACAAAACACACTATCTCCTGGAAGTTACAAGGTAAATCACAGATTATAATTACAAGCAACAACATCAACATTACACCTTTAAACTCCATATGAAGTTTCTGCAACAAGATGCAAACATATTCAGAAGTTAAAAGAAAGTATAAAAACTAACCTCATACACAAAATACACTTTGGCTTCTACATAGATTCCCATGCGCACTACTGCACGTACTGCTGCATTCATACCTAGGAAGAGAAAGTAAATTCATGTTGTTACTAAATTTGGTAACTACCCAGGTTTTCTATTAACTTGAAATATCTTTGTCAATAAAAACAAACTAAAACAAAGATTAGGAAACTACAACTTGTTTCTAAATGGGGAAAAATATTGTCAAATATTTCAGAGAAACCTAAATACTGACAATGCAGTTAGCCCTTGAATGTGAAGAGGACAGAGTTATTTGCTCCATTACCCTAAGTACATGGACACTCATTAGCCAATCAAATTGATATGATCAGAACAGACAACTAAAAGCATAAGGCTGGTGCAACCTCTTATCATTTGCAAGTGCATGGCATACACTTCATTAAAATTCGGTCCCTGCTCCCCTTTGCTCAAAAGGAAATTGAAAAAAAAAAAAACCTGTGCCATATCTAAGTCATGTTACTTCA